CAGGAAAGTGGGGTCCCATGGAGAAGCACTGTAGAGGGAGAGAGGAGCCTCCCTGGGGCAGAGAGGAGGGAGTGGCAAGGTGAGGGGATGGTTGTTCATGGGGATGCCTAGACTTGGCTCACATCTTGGGGCTAGACTCTATGATCCTCTGGGGTCCCTTCCAGCCTGAATGTCTATGAACTCTATGAAATCTTTTTTTCTCTCTCTCTTTCAGTGGGGGTTAGTGGTCATTCCTGTTCTGGCAGACTTGGGTCCCTTGGAGTCTCTCTCTCTGAACCCCAACCCCCAGGAGGTGAGCTGTGTGGGCTATGCTACTACCCAGTTACCCTTTTTTGTCTCTGCTCCTTGCCTGTTTAATCCTCCATAGGGTGGGGAGACAACAGAGCCCATTCTGCCTTTGGGTTCTTATCCCTGGAGGTACCACTTAAACACAAGGTGAGCTCAGACCTGGCCTCCAGCTGTGTGTGGATATCCTATAAGGCAGCTGGAGGTGAGCAAGCCAGAGAACACCATTCGATGATGTGCACAGACTTATGTGGGGTTGTGCAGTGTCCTGGCTAAGCTAGAGCCTAGACTCAAGAAAGAGCACCCATTTCTCTGGGACTTACTCTTCTTGCCCTGTATTGATCGCACCCTGTTCCAATCTGATTCTGACCTCAGTGCCCAGTTACTGGATCTCATGCATTTGCATTAAGGTGCCCTCTGCCATTGGGAGTATCCTCCATGGGCAGTTCTGTGCAGGACAGAACTGAGTCAGCTCTCAGCCTGCTTTTGGAGAGGTGAAGCATGGTGTGAACCCTTTTCTGAGGCTTCCACTGAGGCTTCACAGAGGTGGAATTACCTCATGCTCTTGCTCAGTGTTCCTTCCCTAGCACTGCAGTGGGAGGGGGTCCCTTGGGTTACTCTGCCTATGAGGGGGGCTTCCAAGAGCTGGTATATGCTGGATCCAAGGTGAACTATTACAATGGGCCCAGCCATGTTTCGGGATCCCCCAGACAGTTGACCCACTCCCATTCAAGCCAAACTGTGTTCCCTCCTTATGGTGTTGGCAGTGACCTTCCATTTGCCCAGATGGCTGCTAAAGCTCAACATGGTCCCATCGGACTCTGCAGGTGAGAACCCCCCAGAACCACAGCCACGATGAGCAGTCTCCCAAAGGAACACTGTTTTCTTGCAGACAGTTCAGCTTGGAGGTCTGCAAATGCCTCCCTATAAATTTCTACCATAGTGAGCTGCACTATGCTAGGGTTCTGCCTTGGCGCAACAGCAAGTGTCTTTAGAAACGAAAGGCAACAGATCCGAGCAGGTGGGCACAAGTGCTTACACACAGAGCCTTGCCCATGCTTTGTTCTCATAGCTCCTTGACCTCCAGGCATTAGCTGAGGTAGTTACAGTATGCATAGGCCACAGAGGCATAAAGGGGCTCTGCTGTCTGGTCCACCCCCCCCACCCTAGTCCCATTTGTGGAATCGTGCCCAGCTGAGGTCACTTTGTGAGGGTCAGTGTTTCCCCTGCATGGTAGGCTAGGGTAATGCAGTGCCAGTCCATATTCCTTGTGATGTTTTTGTCCCTAGGTTGAAGAGGTCTTCACTCTCCCACTGTCTCACTTGCTGGAAGTGCAGAACCAGGGCTATACCCACTTCCGCAGCAAAGGACACTATAGCTATACACTGCCAGTCTTCCTCAGTGGCTGCTACAAGGTGTGGGGGTTGACAGCCATCATCACTGATTTGACACTGGAGCTGCTAGTGCCTGATGATTACCGCAGAAGGACACACGTGCCAGCCATCCACTGAGCATGTGTTCCACCAGTCCTTTCAGGGTTGCAATACCAGGAGCGCTGTGCTCATGTAGAGAGTGAATAAAAGAGTTCAGGCATCATCCTCCACCTTGAGGGGGCAGAGAGCCAGGGAGGCCAAGTAAGGTGATCCCTGCAGCACTTTTTCAGCTACCCTGGGAACGTGAATCAAAGCCAGAGGGCAATAGCCTTTTCCCAAAACACAAATACCCACAACAGGTTAGGGCAGTCTGTTTTGCTGGTAATCGCTGTATTTGGTATAGGGCCTACAAAAAGACCTCAGAAAATGCAGGAAGAGTTTGGGATTTTTTTAATACCAGACTAGAACATCCTTTGGTGAGGATGGGGTTGGCAAGAAGATACTTTGGAGGGTTGTTTGTAGGGACTAAAGCCATGCTGATCCTGGGGAAATACCCTACCTTCCTGTAAGCCCAGTGCCCTGTTGCTAAGTTACCACACTGCATGCAATGGGGATCATCCCTCTGTGGTAGAACTTGCCTCTAAGGCAAAGGTGTAAGAACTAGGGGTGCCCACAACTCGTTTCTTAGGGGGGAGGACAGATGGGGTGCTGCTGTCAGAGGCTTGGGGAGCTGCAATACTGCTTGGAATTGGGCAGCCTTCTGGCTGATGTCTTGAGAATATGCAATTTACTTCATTAAATGATAATCCTGGAACATTTGTGTAATGGTGAAATCCAAACTTAGGAACACAACTTGAGTTTTGTGCCAATGCCCCTTGGCGAGCAAAACCATTTGTTCTTCCTCATGATGACTTGTCCTGGTCAGGCCAGCACCATGCTAAACTGGACAGGACTCCCTAAGGGTCCGCAGCAGAGCCCAGCACTGCCTTGGAAAAGCCCAACCCTACCATTACCCAACAGCAGCTGCACATCCTGCTGCATTTGCCACATCTACCACAACCTGACTTCTTGTGGCAGGTCAGGGAAGGAGAGGGCTCTGCGTCTTATAATTGTGCAGCAGGGTTGTTTATAGAATTTTAGGAATAGGTTTGACAAGCATTTGTATGGGATGGCTTGGGTAGGGATATACCGGCCCCGGGGGGGGGGTTAGGTTAGACTAGACAAACTCCTTAAGTTCTCTCCAGCTCTACTTTTCCATGATTCCATGAATAGGGACCTACAACAGCCAGTCCCAACCAGGAAGGACATGTTCCAAAGGCTGAGCAACACTCCAGGACTCCCAACTCAAACAAGCCACGGGGAAGGGACTTGATCCCCCTACTCCAGATTGGAATCCAGTCTGGGCACATGGGACGAATCTTCATTCTTCTCTGTCAAAGAATCATAGACAAGTAGGGCTGGAAGGGACCTCCAGACGTTATCTAATCCAACCCCCTGCCTGAGGCAGGATCATCCCTATCTAAACCATTTTGTACAATCCATAAGACTACCATCAACCCTGACACAACACAGATCTAACACACTAAACCTACCACAGGTAGAGCAGGGGAACCATGGCATCTAGTGTCCTGCTTCTATGAAATGATGTCAGTATATGGGCTATGCCCTCTGCTACAGAGGAAGGCAAAAAAACCCCACAGTTCATATCAGTCTGACCTTGACCAGAGAGGCATGACTCTAACAAGGAACCTCTGACTTCAGTTCCCCACTTAAAGTTCCCAGCCTTGGCTGTAGCCAACACTCAGTGCCTCTGAAGGAGGCTTAAAAACACCAATACATGTGGTAGACAGGGAGGGGGCAACCAGGAATCCCCAGAAGTATGGAAAATAGATATACAGTAGAATAGCTATGCCTAGATCAATCTAAACTTTGCTGCAACTTCAAACCATTGGTCCCTGTCCTGTTCTCTGCAACGAGAGAGAAAATGTGCCCCCCACCGCTTTAAGTATCTGATGACTGTTATCATGTTCTCTCTTAAACACCTTTTCTGCAAGCTGAATGTGCCTAGCGCCCTCAGCCTTGACTTGCCTTCCAAGCCCTTGATCATCATTGTTGCCCACCTCTGGACCTTCTCTAAAAACTCCACATCTTTTTTAAAATGTGGAGCCCAGAACTGCACGATACTCCAGATGAGGCCTCAATGCTGAATAGGGAGGCACTATCATCTTCCATGTCTAATGCACCTAATGCTTTTACTGATGCATCCCAAACCTTGCATACTTTTTGTGCAGCTGTTTCATACTGTAGAATCACGTTCAGCCTGTGGTCTACCAAGACTACCGAGTCTTTCATAGTGCTGCCATCCAGGCAGGTGTCCCTCATTTCATATTTGTGTTTCCGATTATTCCTCCTGAGGTGTAGCACCTAGCATTTGTCTGCATTGAACTTCATCCTGTTGGCTCCAGCCAATTCCCCTATTGAGATTCTTCTGAATTGCACTTGCATCTTCTGGTGTATTCACAACCTTTCCAGTTTCATGTCCTTTGCAAACTTGCTCAAGTTTTCTATACCAGCATCCAACTCGTTAAACATGTTGAAAAACACTAGGCCTAGGATAGGGGTGCACCAATAAGAGACTTTGGGGACTGATCCCAATAGCCAATTTTTAAGCAGGCATATTGGCTGATACAGATCCGATTTCTGATACAGCAGTGTGCAACTAGTAAATCTGTTATGGTAGAGGGAGTGGGGCAGGGGGTGTGGGGAGGGGGGGAGCCAGCTCCTGCTGCTGCACGCACCCCAGGAGGGCATGGGGGGAGGGCAAACGTGCTGGCCCCCCTCCCAGCACCATCACCGCCCCAAGTGCAGCCCTGACCAAAACCCCACCAAGTATGTGCTGGGAAGTGCCTGGTGGAGTCCCCCACCCCACAGAGGTCCAGGGGCACACGTTCCCAGTGCCATCCTGGGGTGCACACACCGGTAGGAGCCTCCCCAGGCCCCCTGGATGAGCTGCAGTTCTGTCCGCTGCCCCAACCCTTGTCCCACTCCCTCCCGCACCGTGGGGGCCTTGATCTGTGCCCCCCCCGCCCAAAAAAGTCCCAGGATTACATATACAGTAAAAGCCGTGTTATCCAGCACTTCATTAACCAGCTTGCTGGTCGACCTGGCAAAAGCAAACCTGGAAGTCCCACTTTGGGCCATGGCAAATTTATTGATAAATTAATAAAGTTTACATGTAATTCAATATGAGTGGAAGGGATTATTCTCTAGGATGTACAGGGGAAGGGCAGCACAGTGCCTGTCCCCTGGCACACTGGACGAGGCAGGAGGAAGGCAAAGATGCCTCTCAGGTAACCAACTTATTTGGTTATCCGGCATGCCCCATTCCCCATGGATGCTGGATAACAGAGCTTTTGCTGTACAAGGATTCTAGGAGCTGGATCAGGTACCCAGGCTATATAGTGCCCAACAGACTCTGTAGCAGGTAAAGTTTGGGACAGCAGCCTGACTCTGGATGAAAATAACCAAAACAGAATTAATACAGAGAATGTAGTTCCTACTTCCTTCCCTCCCATGAAACGGGAAGGAGGACTCTGGATTACAGAGATCACGAACCCCAGATGGGCAGGTGCTCACCACTGAGGGAGAGGTCAGCATCCTTAATGGAGGAACAAAGGTTACAGCTGAAGGGTTGGTACCAGGGGAAAGGCTGGAGGACAGCCCACTCTCCCTGAAGCAAAATGCTATCAGGTGGGCAGGCTGGTATCGAGAGTACTGGAAAGGGCGAAACGAGATACCAAGAGATGGGCCAGTGAGAGGCAGAAGTACCAGCAAAGCTGGAGCATGGAGTTTTGTGCCTTGGGGCAAATACTGTGGATTAAGACCCAAATGCTCTACCCCACGAAGCCCAACCAACCAGTCTCACTGCTAAAGCGGGCATGAAGGGAAACAGGGTCTCTTTTCACCTTCTGAGCAGTACTGAGCTGAATAGAGGGTCCTTGACCTTCATCTGAGTATTAATAAGCCAACAGTGCTGAGGGACAGCAGCTCCTGGCTCTGTCCCAGCTGCTGCCTGTGACATCTCTGACTCATTACCCATCAGGGAGAGAAATCACTAGCCCATGAGCACAACTGTGTTTATTGGGGAGTTCATCCAGCAAGAAGGGCAGAAAGGCAGCAGCCCCTCTCACCCCCAAACACATAGAAAAAACCTCACCAAAAATCAGGAAGCAGTCCCCTTCCCACCTGCCAACCTACTAGCAGAGGTGCCCCCCCCGCCAGCAACCACAAGATGAAGCACTTAGTCCTTGCCCTCCTACCACAGAAAAAGGTGTGCCTGATCACATGCAGAGGGGAGTGCCACCTCTCCAGACTGACTAGCCCTCATGCCAGTGCCTGTTGAGCCGACTCCTCATACCGCCGCATTCGTTCCTCCAGCTCTGGGCGGAAGTGCCGGATGAGACCCTACAGGAAGTGAAGAAGGTGGAGTCAGCTTGGCTAGGATACATACTCTGAACTCTATTACCAGAGTTGCATCCTTCTCCAAGCCAGCACATGCATCTGATCCCTCACAAACTAGTTCCAATCCCCTCCTCACTTGTCCTATCAACCTTGCCCCACCCTCATGCTCAGCCTTACCCACTTACCTGCACAGGCCAAGCTGCTCCATCGCCCAGGGCACAGATGGTGTGACCCTCAATCTGCTTACTGATCTCCCACAGGGCATCAATCTCTGCTGTCTGGGCCTTGCCCTGCACAAACCGCCACATCACCTTGTTCATCCAATCCACACCTGCAGGGAGAGCACAGTAGTCACTACCCCATAGCACCTATTATAGCTCACACCAATCAGCTCAAGCACACCCAGCTCTCACTCACCCTCCCTACAGGGAGTGCACTGCCCACAGCTCTCATGCTTGTAGAATTCAATGAGGCGGGCAATGGCTCTGACAATGTCCGTCTGGAAGAGAAGGAGACAGTAAATGCTGTACTGCATGGCCTTGTACCACCTGCTATAGCAAGGGAGAAGGGAGCCATACCGATTTGTCCATGACAATGACAGCAGCTGTACCAAGCCCAGACTGTGCCTGCACAAGTGCATCAAAGTCCATCAGCACTGTCTCACACACTGACTTGGGGATGAGTGGGGTGGAGGATCCCCCTGGGATCACTGCTAGCAAGTTGTCCCAGCCACCACGCACACCTCCTGAGCAGAGAGAAAGGAGTCAAGTCAGGCATAGCACAGAACTGAGCACAGCATGCGTTCCCCAGGCCAGGTCTGCTAGAACCATAGTACCTGGAGGCAGGCTTGCAAGCCAGCCCAGAGGCCCTGCAGCATGGGGTAAGGGCATATGAGTATGGCCTCAAGGCCCAGACATCCCACCTGCATGTTTCTCAATGAGCTCCTTAAGTGGCACTGACATCTCTTCCTCCACTGTGCATGGGTTGTTCACATGCCCCGAGATGTTGAAAAGCTTAGTGCCAGAGTTACGCTCACGCCCAAAACCAGCAAACCAGGCCCCACCACGCCGGCAGATGGTGGGAGCCACGGCCACAGTTTCCACATTGGCTACAGTGGTGGGACAGCCAAACACACCTGGGAAACGGGTAGAGGAGAGAGAGATGAAGGTAAAACAAAGGATGGGCATAGGGGTTCTACCACACTTGCCATAGACATTAGATTTCTCTCCGACTAGAACTGTGCTTCCAGGGATACGGAAAGCAGGTCATGCCTATATGTGCCAGGGGGGATGGTCTGAAGTACAGCTCTTGTGGAGGTAGGGTAATACCCATGTCTACTGGGTATCACAGTTTGAGGGATGACTCCCTGGGGATGGGAAGCATACAGGGATGGTAATACCCACATCACCCAAAGGAAGTCAACTTGAGAATAGCTCCCTGAGGAAGGAGCAGACAGAAAGAACTGTACCAATACCTTTCTAGAAAGGAAGACTGAAGCCCAGCTCTAGAGAAATGGAGTGTGTGTCTGGGAAGGGTCATACCTACGTCAGCTGGGAAGGGTGGCTTGAGGCGTGGCTTTCCCTGCTTGCCCTCAATGGATTCAATCAGAGCAGTCTCCTCCCCACAAATGTAGGCCCCAGCACCTCTCACCACAAACACATCAAAGGCATACCCTGAGCCACATGCATCTTCACCTAGAAGCCCTGCCTCATAGGCCTCACGGATTGCCACCTGCAAGGGGAGATAAGTCAGTACAGCTGATTTCTGGCCCTCCAACAGATACTCACCAATGACATGCCCACATGCCAACTAGCAATGGAGCATGCACATCCTCCTCACCTGAAGGTTGGAGGCCTCATTGTAGAATTCCCCACGGATGTAGATGTAGGCAGCACGGGCCCCCATGGCACGACCTGCTACTAGACAGCCCTCCACCAGCTTGTGTGGGTCATGGCGCATAATCTCACGATCCTTACAAGTGCCTGGTTCACCCTCATCTGCATTCACCACCAGATATTTGGGTCTGGAACACACACAGGCCACATAGCACCAGCCAACAGCAGGCACCTGCGCTGGGATCTAGGAGCCCCTCTAGGAAGCAGCAAATCTCCACAAACAGCTGAGCTAGTTGCATGCCAACCACTAGCTACTACTCCCAGCAGTAAAAGCCCAGAGCCGCTCCTGCTGTGGGAGTCCAGACACTTCCTTTTGGGGACTGGTGCCACACTGGCTCACAAGCTGTACAACAGGACAGCCCCCTTGGACAGGAAGATGGGAGTAAGGCAGCAAGTGCTAGGAAATGCTTGTTAGTTCAAGGACTGGTAGGGAACATACCCAGACATGCCTCCCATTTCCCACAGGGAAAGGAGGGATTGTAAACAAAGGAGGTTTCCACAACCCAGGGACCATCCTGCCCCCTCCTGCCCTCCCCCTGTCACAGAAGGCCCAGGCACCACCCTGGCAAAGGGCAGGAGGGCTCCCCCTGCCCTGTGCCGCCCAGCCTCACCCACCTGCCATCAGAGGGCTTGTTCATGAAACTCCATTTGAGGCCGGTGGGGAATCCAGCCCCGCCGCGGCCCCGGAGGCCAGAAGTCTTGATCTCATTCAGGATCCAGTCCACGCCTTTCAGCAAGATCTCCTTGGTTTTGTACCAGTCTCCCCGGCTCAGAGCCCCCTGTAGCCTACGGGAGAAGGAAAGCGAGGCGGAAGGTGCTCGTTCTGGCCCGAGCGGGGCGGGGAGCAGGCAGGGCCGGCGCCGCCGCTCACCTCCACTCGTGGCGGCCGTAAAGGGTGGGGGAGAGCCCGCCCTCCGCCCCCCGCCAC